ATATGTGAACTAGAAAGGTACTATGTCATTGTATCCAACATACTGACCTACTGCCATATGTGAACTAGAAGGGTACTATGTTCATGTATCCAACATACTGACCCACTGCCATATGTGAACTAGAAAGGTATTATGTTCATGTATCCAACATACTGACCCACTGCCATATGAGAACTAGAAAGGTATTATGTTCATGTATCCAACATACTGACCCACTGCCATATGTGAAATAGAAAGGTATTATGTTAATGTATCCAACATACTGACCCACTGCCATATGTGAACTAGAAAGGTACTATGTCATTGTATCCAACATACTGACCTACTGCCATATGTGAACTAGAAAGATACTATATCCTTGTATTCAACTTACTGACCTACTGTCATATGTGAACTAGAAAGGTACTATGTCATTGTGTTCAACTTACTGGTCTACTGCAATATGTGAACTAGAAAGGTATTATGTTTATGTATTCAACTTACTTGCCTACTGCAATATGTGAACTAGAAATGCACTATGTTTATCTTTCCAACTTACTGGCATACTGTCATATGTAAACTAGAAAGGTACTATGTTTATGTCTTCAATTTGTTGGCCTTCTGCCATATGTGAACTAGAAAGGTACTATTCTCATGTATTCAACTTACTGGCCTACTGCCATATGTGAACTAGAAAGGTACTATGTCCTTGTATTAAACTTACTGACCCACTGCCATATATATGTGAACTGTATAGCTACCATGTTCATGTATCCAACTTACTGACCCACTGACATATGTGACCTAGAAAGGTACTATGTTCATGTATCCAACTTACTGAACTTCTGCCATATGTGAACAAGTAAGGTACTATGTTCATGTATCCAACTTACTGACCCACTGCCATATGTGACCTAGAAAGTTACTATGTTCATGTATCCAACATACTGACCTACTGCCATATGTGAACTAGAAAGGTACTATGTTCATGTATCCAACTTACTGACCCACTGCCATATGTGAACTAGAATGGTATTCTGTTAATGTATCCAACTTACTGACCCACTGCCATATGTGAACTAGAAAGATACTATGTTCATGTATCCAACATACTGACCCACTGCCATATGTGAACTAGAAAGGTAGTATGTTCTTGTATTCATCTTACTGACCTACTGCCATATGTGAGCTGGAAAGGTAGTATGTTCTTGTATTCATCTTACTGACCCACTGCCATATGTGAACTAGAAAGGTACTATGTTCATGTATCCAACATACTGACCTACTGACATATGTGAGCTAGAAAGATAGTATGTTCTTGTATTCATCTTACTGACCCACTGCCATATATGAGCTAGAAAGGTATTATGTTCATATATCCAACATACTGACCAACTGCCATTTGTGAACTAGAAAGGTACTATATGTATGCATTCAACATATACTGACCTACTGCCATATGTGAACTAGAAAGGTACTATATGTATGTACCCAACTTACTGACCCATAGCCGTATGTGAACTAGAAAGGTACTATGTTCATGTATCCAACTTACTGGCCCACTGCCATATGTGAACCAGAAAGGTACTATGTCCTTGTATTCAACATACTGGCCTACTGCCATATGTGAACAAGAAAGGTATTCTGTTCATGTATCCAACTTACTGACCCACTGCCGTATGTGAGCTAGAAAGGTAGTATGTTCTTGTATTCATCTTACTGACCTACTGCTATATGTGAGTTAGAAAGTTACTATGTTCATGTATCCAACTTACTGACCCACTGCCATATATGAACTAGAAATATACTATGTTCTTGAATTCAACATACTGACCCACTGCAATATGTGAACTAGAAAGGTACTATGTCCTTGTATTCAACTTACTGACCCACTGCCTTATGTGAACCTTAAAGGTAGTATGTTCATGTATCCAACATACTGACCCACTGCCATATGTGAACTAGAAAGGTACCATGTTTAAGTATCCAAATTACTGACCTACTGCGTTATGTGAGCTAGAAAGGTAGTATGTTGTTGTATTCAACTTACTGGCCTTCTGCCACATGTTGGACCAGAGTAACCATGCCTGCATGAGCAAGTATTTGGTTTGATACAGCGTCCTCCATACATACACCTGTGCTGACATGTTGCTGTAAAATTATAGAATGGTAAACGGAATACAGTGTAAGTAACATAAATTAAAGCAATGGCAAAGTGTGCATAAAGTTGGATATATTGAATAATTGAGGACTGAATGTGTTAGAAATTAGAATAGAATATATTGGAATATGGTGAACTACATAACACTTGATTGGTTGGTAATTGCCAAACTACATATA